AGTACTGACAGAGTGAAGTAATAAAAAAAACTACCAGTACCAGACGACCTACTACTAGCCTGACACGCTGAGTGGTTCGGTAGATGCACACTTAGCGGCGTAGAAGTTCTGTCTTAACTTGAAGAGGAAGGTAATGTACTGTGACATGATCGAATAGCTTAAAAAGTGACCTCGGTTGCTAGGCAATGGCACAATAAAGACGTTATAATACCACTGCCATAACAAGCTAACAACAGAAGAAATGTTCGAGGTTTTTTCTATCCGGTCCGACCTGAGGCTATAGAGGGAGATGCCGTCGGCAGTGTTGCAAAAGAAAAAAGAAATACTAGTCGCGAGTCTCCAAGGACTTGACGCCAAGACAAACTGATTGACGGTAAACTGCCAGTCGTACAGTACTCTGACTCTCACTTTGTCTGAGGGCCGGTTAAATTGCTAATGGTCTTCGCCAGCACAGTCATTTCTGGCTTCTGCCTTGTCGAGATCCATCACCAAAACATTTATTCTCTCCTGTATAGTACACTGACCACTGTACAGACGAACAACACGCCATGTCATCACATGAGTTGCAAAGTGCACTGATGTTAACGGTAGCATGGTCGAAAAGGTATTACACTAGGTAAACTGTACCAACTTTGGCACTTGAACAATAAATACCGGTGTTAGAAACAGTACTTAATATCTCTTTCTTATCAATAATTTTGGAACTGTACAGTTGAAATACAGTAGCTCTATCTAGGAAACCGTTCGGAATAGGACATATACAGAGTGATTCAGAAAGATGGACACAATTTCAATTGACTATATTTCCTGAACTGTATGTTGCATTTGAATTCTGTAAAGTACATTTGAAAGAGGATGTTACAAAGTTTCTAGTATTACCGCTAGTGCCCTCCATCACTGCGTCCCGGGCCGATCGCGTGTATCGGAGGAGAACGTGGAGTGCATTCGAGTGAACTTTGAGCGCAGCCCAATGAAGTCAACCCGTAGTGCTAGTAGAGAACTTGGACTATCGCAAACAACTGTGTGGCGTGTACCACCTCTTCCCACAAATTTGAATGACCTAAGAAACTGTATCACAGCTGCGGTGAACTCAGTGACGCAAGATATTTGTCATCGAGTGTAGGATGAATTCAGCTACCGTCTAGATGTTATCCGTGCAGCCGGAGGAGGGGGGGCACATTGAACATCTATAAACTTCCATGTATGTATAATCAAGTGTAATTTACAGAATTCAAATGCAACATATAATTCAGGAAATATAGCCAATTGAAATTGTGTCCATCTTTCTGAATCACCCTGTACAGTAGCCCTATCTAGGAAACCGTTCGGAATAGGACATATACTCGTATATACACACTCTTTTGCATAGAATGACCGATAATATTATCTCCCAGAATATTTTCCTTCCCTCTTGGGACATTCTGTATATATACCTTGAAACTCTGAAGGACGCTGGCTGAATACCTTTGGTTTCAGTATTTATGACCATCGTAAAATTAAGTGCTGTTTGGATTTGGGGTTCTCATAGCTGCGACTATGAAGACTAACGGCCGGTGGTTCGGCCTGCTGCCTGTTTACTGCTTGGTTCGCTTGGCTCAGGGTTCGCACTGAAAGTGAAGGCGATACGATCCTCCTAAACGTGTCAACTTCTACCAAACTACACGACGTCACATCTCAAGAGCTCGCATTGAGTCTATCGCTTAGGAGCTAGAGGGAGCACGAGATTGGCATTCATTATATGGACAGTTCCCTGGATTTCATGGGGCACGAGGTAGCGTAGTTGGTTGATGCACTATACTACAAACCGGAAGGTCGCGGATTCGAGTCCCGATGAAGTGGATTTTTTCAAATGACCTAATCCTTCCAGCCTCATTATGGCCTTGGGGTCTACTCAGCCTCTAACAGAAATGAGTACCGGGAATCTTCCTGGTGGGGTGGTAAAGGCGGCCGGCGCGTAAGGCTGACAACCTTACCGTCATCTGTGAACCAAATGTCTAGATAATGTTGGGCCCTCAATGTCTGACAAACCTATGGGCATCCATGGCCTGCTACAGGGATAGCTTTACCTTTTTCTCTCAATTCCATAGACCAGGGCTGTACAATTCATGGCACGAGAGACGCATGAAGCCCTGTAGTTAGTTTTGCTTGATATGCGAGTGCGTTTTTCAATTCAGAAAAATCTGTGTTGAAAATGGTGTCGAATGTTGTTGAAGGAACCTTTGCGAGAAGTGTTTACTAAGTATTACCTGTAATTTTTCAACATAATTCACGCGACACGCAATAAATAACATCAGAATAATATGCAATTAGTATGAGTTCAATAACGAATGTAATGCCGATATTACGGGCAAGCGCCGTCGAACTGGCAATATTTAATTTAAATAAATATCTTTCTTTTAATTTATGTGTGCAATTCTTATTCGTATATTTGCATTCCATGACCTGATCACAGCAAAGCGTATATCTGTATGGCCACGCCGTAGAAAATATATTGTGACATGACGCCTCAAAGCCGGAATAGCGCAGCCGGAATAGACGTTCATTGCTAGGCAACGACGCGGTAAACATGTTCCCACAGCAACGAATAAGCCAGCAACAATCGAAGTATTGTTGAGCTATAACGATGGAAACTCTTTTCCTGTTGGACCCGCCCCGAAGTCCCATAACGAGGATCCCAGGCCAGCTGAACGAATTTTTTGTGGGAGTCAAGATGACTGAGAAGTGATGGCAACAAGACAGTTGAGTTTAGACGGCAGTCTGCCAGGATATGAGTCTGAGAGAAAAGGAATTGAATTGAGAAACTGAGTCATTAGAATTATTGAATGCAGTTCAGCTGAGATTTCGAAGTCTCCCTCTGAAGAGAAGACTTTACGTTCGATATATGGAGGCATAATTCACTGAGACTGCTATATTACTGTGTTGAAATCCATTACCAGGTTAGGATTATTGAAAACTGAGAACCCTAATCTATGTGTAGCGGTGAACTGTAAAGTGTAGATCATCAGCATTGCTGTAATTACGTGTAGTTCTGAGGGGTGTGTATAAGTGATCAATAAACCAAATATCGAATCGAACAAAGTCCGAAAAGCCAGAAATTCTGGGTGTGTGTTACCTGTAGAATGACAAGGAGTATTAGTTTTATTGTTCGCCTAAGAAGGGACATAGGATCAGACTTGCATTCAGTTACAAGGCGTGTTGCTTTGATGAGTTAACGAGAATTTTGAGACTTCGCAGCACCGTGGCTTCGGTTTGTTAATAGGAGAAATGACAGGTTTTCACGCTCGTAAACCAAATGCTGGAAGGCCCAGAACCAACGCTTTTAGTGGTACCGATCTTGTTCCTGTGAAAAAACACGGTTGGTCTTTAAAGGCCATATTCGCTTGAAATTCTGTGTTTAATTGTAAAAACATAAAAACATGAGGCTTTCATAAGATTACATTAACATAATGGTTTTATAGTAAGCCACTGTCAATCATTCGAAGAATGTGTCCTGTTCTTAACTGATACCTTCAGGGACTGGAAACTGTTTACTCTAAATTGCACTTTGTCATGTATAGACTGTTTAACCTTAAGTAGGATACAATTTTAACCAATAAATATTCTTCAGTATACTCTCCTTATTCTCGTGCTGATTTCACTGCATTGAGAATTCTCGGTTATGTTATCCACGTGTGCTGCAGAATTGGTTACAGCAACTGCCAGTTTTAAAATCTCAGGTAAACTTTTAGTAAAATAGTACTCAAAGACCGTCTCTGTGGTCTAGTGGTCAGAATTCTGCCTATAGATCCAGAGGTCCCGGGTTCGATTCACGGCACTACCAGATTTTCTGAGAAGTAGTGGGTCTGGAACTGAGGAACTATTTCAAGGAAATGACGGCTCCGGTCTAGAAAACCGAGATTCACAGCCGTGGGGATCCGTTGCAGTGACCACGCGACACCCCCTATCCGCTAAAGTTGGCACTAACTTCTCCGACAAGCGGCGGTCGCTCGGTCGGTATAGTGCTTGCGGACTACAGGCCACGGATTTTGTTTTAGTAGTTAAAGACAAACAGGCATTGATGGAGAGAATAATTTTAACGGCTGCAACCGTTACAGTTGTAGTGATTTAACGAGAGACGTTAGGATGTAAGAATCAGGACAATTTAAGCAAGTTACCAAATGTCTTCTGCTCTTTTTTAATTTTTATTAATCTTAGTTGATCCTAAAATTAAGAAGAAAAAACATTCTCTTTGAAAAATCAATACCCGTAAGAAAAGGTCAGCTGCAACATATTTCTTGTTTCAAACCGATAGAAATACAAGCTTTACACCGATGAAACACTTATCTTCCTTAGTCATTACGTCACAGTTAAGAGTTGAAAGAATGGATATCAATTAAGAAAACTAAAGCGTATTCATATAACTACAACGGGAAAATAGCAATGAGGACTTGAGTCGCATTCAGAAACTCTAACATAAGAGCTGCGCATGTGCAGTAACATCCGTAGCCAGAGTACAGAGTGCGTGTTCTCTATCAGTCCCGCGGCAGGAAAAGTGGAAAGACAAAATTAAATTGTTGTATGTATATACGACGATTCCGAAATATACCAATTCACTGGCCATGAATTTATGGATTCTTATAAGTAACGCCGACTTTTAATCGGACACAGTGTTCGAATTCTTTCTAATAGGTCCGCTGTATTTCTCGGCCTTTGGGTGAGTGTCGATGCGTTTCAACAGCAGCAAGGCTACAAATGGTTCTATTTGGACAATCCTCATATTAGACTCTCCTTGGATATGTGCGGCCTGTTCAAGCATTCTGGTGGCGTGTCCGAAAAATACTAAGGGCAACAAATCCAGTCTGCAACCTTTGCACATGGCAGATTACAAATAAATGGATTATTACACCAGCATGAAGATGGTGAGTACATGTTGCAGCGTGGTTTCCATGTCAACTTCACTGACCACACCGTACGTGGCGTCGCCCTGAAACATAAGCTACTGAATCAAGTTCGGTACTCACACTAGCATGTGGTAGAGGATGGCTTTGTAACCTCGCGGGCGCTCCAGGAAGTTGTACACGCGACTCTGAAGTCTCCTGTAGCGCGCGTCCCGCCGATTCGCCCGGTAGTTGAGCGGTTTTCCGAGCAGACTCATCCGGGGCTGTTGCAACCGGCCGCCGTGCTTTGAGGACGATCGCCGGTCGTTGAGCGAGAGGCTGCAACACAGTACAAATGCACACACATCATTAGTTCTGGTACTCGGTCACCAAGCACCCTTTTCTTTTTATTCGTATAGTGGAGTCCAGCTGGTGTCACTCGGCACCTCGGCCACTGTTTGGCTTATTCTACCTGTCCCGGTTGATTATGATGATGGATAATTTGGTGGAATGAAAACTGGTAGGGGAAACCGAAGTACTCGGAGAAAACCTACCCCAGAGCCGCTTCGTTAACCACAAATCCCACTTGACCAGACCCGGGCTCAAACCCGTGCCGCCGCGGTGGGAAGCCAGCGACTAACAGCTTGAGCTATGGAGCGGCCACCAAACACGCTGGTTCAAGCGGTAACTCTTCTGATTTGTAACCGGGAAGTACACAGTTCGAATCTCGGTTGGGATAGCGACTATCCTGGTTGGTGTTTTTAGTGATTTTCATCAGTCCCTTCAGGTAAATGCTGTTAGAGTGCCTTAAAACTTGGCCCAGACCGCTTCCTTCAGCATTTACCCCATTCATTACTTACTAATCATCAGACCCTACATAATTTGAGAATTCGCGTCGTCGAACGAACTACAGAGAAAAAGTTTTTCAGTCTTCAGACTCACATTAACATCGTAAATAGGTCGCGCCATAGCTCAAGCGGTTAGTCGCTGGCTTCCCACCGCGGCGGCCATGGTTCGATGCCGGTTCTGGTCAAGTGGGATTTGTGGTGCACATAGTGGCGCTGGGGAAGATTTTCTCCGAGTACTTCGGTTTCCCTTGCCAATCTTCATTCCACCAACAGCTCCACAATCACCCTCACCTGTCATCTGGGGGCTGGTACAATAGGCCAGAAGTGGCCGCAGTACAAGGGACTTAGTCCCACACCACTAGCATTAAAAAATAACATCGTAAATATACACAAGCACCGATATAACGAAGATAAGAGCAAACTGCAACAGCATAAATGTCTTGTTCCAATTATTTTTCATTTAATTATGTTATATGTAAGGACGCTGTTAACACACGAGACAACACAGCGCCGAATGACGTGAGGGTTACTGAATAATGAACTGGAGAGGTACAAAATGAAGCGATCGTTAATTAATGTTAGGCAATTTCCAGAAATATTCCTAGAAGGACTCAAGAAAATCAAGCAAATACAAGGCTAAGGATAGCCAGTCTCTGAACCGGTACATAAATTAAGAATGTCTCGAAATAGAAGCAGGACTCTTATCCACTGAACCACGATGTTTGATGCGTCTTATCATCCCTTCTGTTATCTAACAATTCAAAGATTCCAATGCAGACATACACAATTACAGTTTTATCTATCGGACTGCAGGGCTTCGAAACCGGGTCTCTCACTCCGAATGAAGAAGACAGATTGGGTATAAAAGTATTATCTTCTGTGTTCTAACGCAATGTAATTCAGAGACAGCCCAATATTTCGCTGGAATATACTGCCTCCACATTCAGGACTGGTGAGTAAGTGAAGTATGGAACGAGGAGAAACATGCGACAAACTCACTGAAAGCGACGGGGTTTCCCCGCACACTACACCGCGCTACAGTCGAGAGGATCGCACTAATCAGTGTCACTGCCATGGCAACCTCAGATGCAACCATTACATAATTTTGCGCTCTATACGCGCCACTGGATACTTCTAGAGTACTGAATTGTAGGATGAACTGAGTATGTGACCAATCTGGGGACACGAAAATTCATTGGAACCCCAACAAAGATGGTGAAAATTTGCCTTAAGATGAAGAGTTTGCAAGGAAATAAAGTGGATGAAACTTGCACGCGATCGTGTCTAATGGCAGGCTTTGTAATTAGCAGTCTTGAATAATTGGGTTCTGTTAGAAGAGAGAGCATCAACAGAACATACACCCAGTGAGATGCCTTGAATATCCTCTTGCACGCCTGGCTGTAATCTCCCAGAGAAATTTGATGAAGGTGTCGGGCTCATCTCAGTGGTTACATGGAAACTGCTTAAGTGAAACTGAGGTAAGTGACAGTGATGTGGTGCTAATAGGGCACACAGCACAGCGATTGCGACGTATGCTTTGCGGCTACGGGTGAGGACTCGCGTGTGAAAAGAGATGATTCAGTTTGTGTACAGTGTAGTGGAGACAAACACAACACATTCACTAAATGACACGACATCAACACTTCAAATCCGTGAGTCTTCAGTATCGGAATTTTTCCATTATCTGAATTATTAGGGCCGTTTGCTTGTTTTGTCAACACCCTGCGACCTGCAATGGTTAACGCCTTCGACACCTTTCTGCATGCATGATGAAGGCAGTCGGCCTGTTCCAAATTCTTATAATTATTCCATCTTTTCCAAGTTCTTCGTGGTTTTGGCGTTCATTTCAAGATTGGCAGACAACCCTGATTTTCTAATTACATAAATTAGTTTTTTCTTTTCCTTGGCACTACAGCCCCAGTGGGCCTAGGCCTACCTCCATGAGCTTCTCTGTTCACTTCGGTTTTTCTAGATCTTACACATTCGGTAGGACTCCTTGGGCGGGTGATCAGCTCGTCGCAAGGTCTATACCTGTACACAAACACAGAAAAACGCACACAAATATCCATGCCCTGAGTGGGATTCGAACCCACCACCCCGGCTTCCGAGCGAGCGAAGACAGTACATGCCTTAGACCGCTCGGCTACCGTGACCGGCCTACATAATTTATATGCAATAGTTAAGAGGATGGATGTATGTAGACCCATTGCTAAGTAATGACTCCGTAAACAACGGTCGTTGATAGAAAATAGCTGTAAATAGAAAAAAGAAATGGCGTTCTCTACGCGGTCCGAGCGACAGCCACGTGATCCAACAATAGAACAGTTGGGAGAGGTGTCTTCTACGCGCTCGGTGCCGAGGTTACAAAAGTAGTTGACTGTATGATGTGATTCTGGTCCTCAAGATTGGGGGGAGTCTCGAATCTGAGACAGTAAAATATGCTCATGAGCCCCGCGGTACTTGGACCTGAGAATGACTGCGCTGGCGAGTGTCAGCAGCAAATGTATATGACAGACCCATCCTCTCTTCAGAGAGGTTGTTACATAAGGACTATGACCGCAAGGGTTCAGTTGAAAGAAATGCTAGCCGTGAGTCTCAAGCAGGTTGCCGCCATTATAAACTGAGTGTCGGTACACCAACAGTCGTAAAGTAACTGACTTTGATTCTGACTCTGTGAGTTCGGCAGTTGGAAGCCAGGTTAGTTCAGCTCGGGAGTTGCAGTGGGATAGGCGACAGCCAGCGAAGGCGTGAAGCCGTGAACACGGAAGTTGAGGGATCTGCAGCATTGGAAGACCTTACCAGACAACGACTTGTGAAGACACAGCAGACTGAGAAGACTTAGTACATGTTGTACTGAAATGCAGAGTGCGTGAATTAACAACAGGGCTATAGTTACTCGTAGTTACGTTCTTTAAGGGTTCAATAAATCCAGTTACCATTCCAAACTCTATCACGTGACAATATTATGGAACAATGCATACATGTTACTATTACTCTTTCGCTTTGCCTCAATTAATCAAACTAAATAGAAAATTTTATGGGCTTCGAGCACTACCAACTTTGCTAGAAGTAAGCGAAACTTGTGCAATTGTGAAAAGAGACATACACAGAATGCAGTCAGTGAAGTGATATGCTTGTGAATACTTACCGGGATGATCTGTACTGAGCCATATTACGAAAGAAGATAGGAAAGAACGGATAATACATTTAATGTAGGCAAAGAAAAATACTGATAAATAATTTGAATAAAATGAAGAACAAACATATAAACAAATACTCCAATATAAAAGAATTGGACGTCAGAACCGAGGAGGAAATTCTGGAAAAAATAAAATTAGTGTGTAGTTAGAATAGGTTTCAGTGCATATGAGTATGCCACGAAAGGAAGAAAAAAGGGGAAGAAGAATTTTCGCTTTTGAAAGAAGCTGCTCATACATTCTTGAAAGGGGGATTTTTATTTCAATTAAGAATTGCAAAAAATCCTCTAACAAGAAAGGAATAAATTGGCTTTTGAGCCACGAGCTTTATAATGTGCCTTGGTTTGGACAGGGCACAAGACCGAAATTAGACGAGAGGATAATATGAAAACTGATCCTGAAAAAGGTAGGAGAGTGCGGGCTGGATGTAAGTGTATCGCGGTCAGGTTTCAATAGTGGGGTTTTGCGAACACGGTAACGATCCTTCGACTCCATAAGGGGAGACGAACATGGAGACGAGATCAGAGACTCAGTGAGTGTCAGGGAGGATTTACTCGACTGTGAAGTGTCAGTGTTAGGAATGATATTTGAGTGAACAAAACTGTGATCACTCTGGCCCTGATAATACCCCGTCAATTTTCAATGTACTGAATGCTTTCCCGTGGTGGAAACCCCTAAACTGGGTCAGTGGTACCAACGTTATTGATTCTACCTATCCCACTTCATCTCGTTTCACGTTATGACACCGACAGCTGTAATACCGAACCATGAAGGGCCCGCAAATCAGACACATAATTATTCCGCAATATGTGTGGATTCTGTTTTCGGCATTTTTAGTATCCAATGTAAACTTCTGTAAATGCGTTTTCGGAACTATGGTTATGCGTAATGAAATGAAGTTAATTTTATGGCCTTATATTTGGATATAAAATGGATTTTCCATGTTGTAACCCACGGCATATCGAGATTTTAGGCAGAAATGCGCTATTCTGTGTTATGATAACTTAAAAATTCAGATTTTGAGAATTTGTAGATTATTAGGAAGTTGCAAAGAACATACAACAAAAAATTGCCCGTTTAAAGAGATATATTTCGTTTGTAGCATGTAAAGTGTAAACTTTTTAAAATTATTACTTTTCCGAGGCAAGAAATATCGTTGTCTTCAGTTGGAATACAGCAAAGAGTAATGCATAATATCTAATGGAATCATAATTATTTCTAACACTTTCCAAGATGCTTGAACGTGCTTTAGTCTGATTGAGGCATTGATTAGTGTGGTTAGTTTTACTAAGGA